TGTTCTTATATTCACTCATTATCATAGATAAAGTTTAAAGAATATATTACCTTAGCTATATATTAAGATTTCCCTTTATACAATTACGCATCATTCTACATTGTTGAGCATTTCCTTTTTAAGAAAATTTTTGATAGTCATGTCCGGAATAAGAACTTGATGAGTACCTCAATAGTTATACCGAACCGATTAAGGTACGCCAACGATATTGACATGTGTACCCTGCTAGTTATGTGAAAACTATTGCTAACACAATCTTCACTCTCAAAATAAACATTATATTATTATTTTCTTTACGTTCGTCCACTTGTTAGATCATATATTATTATTAAATATAATCAACAAACTTTTAGTTAGAGATAAGTATGGCCCAATACGTTTTCGTTCATGATAACATAGCTGGTTCAACCTCGCCTCAAGGTAATAAGGAATTATTTATAAGGGTCAAGAAAAGTTAAATTAATCAATTTTGTTCAATTAACAGGCGATTCAACTGATTCAACAAACAATGATTCAAGCATCGTTATGTCATGCCCCGCCGGACTCGATTTATCTTCTTATTACTTTAACCTTCATTTGATTTCTTTTTTTGTGGTTCTTGTAACCAGTTCCTCTGGTAAAGGAAAAAAATTTTTAACTGTTCTATATGCCATATCAAAATACATGTGCTTAATATATATCGAAAACGTTCGAAACGGCCAATATACTCAACAATGTGTATACCGAGACGTGAAAATAAATGCATATAGTTGCATTAATTCAAAGATCAATCACATTCCGAACATTTTTTGATGAAAAAGTTTTTTGTAGATATTAAGATTCATGAAATAATTATCACTTTTCTATCAATAATAGGTGCATTAATTCCAGTCGTCTCAAAAAGACTTCCCGCATTGAGGATTCCACCTGCAGTATTCTTTAGTAAATATAATTCTATTATCTTACATAATTTACTAAAAAATTTACAATTTTTTTTTTCTGAATTAATACAGTTACCAAACATTTTGGGACTGGGGTAATACTTGCCACGGCTTTCGGTATGATATCTGTTACAAATAGAAAATTTAAATATAATAAATTTTTACTAATGATTTTATTTATAAGTGCATATGTTACCATCGGCATTCTCGAGTCTACAGTGTGTAGAGGCATTATCCAATTATAGAGCTTGGCCAGGTGCAATCGCAATGATTGCTTCAGTAGTTATTTTTTTTATCGAATATATTTCTCTGAATTATATTGAAAGTGCCAAAAGTGATAGTTTACCTATTGATAATAACAATGATCCTATTTACGGAAATTCTGAAAGTCTACTACCTGCGGGAGGCCTTGACAGAAATTCTTTATTAACAATCGATGCACAAATTATGGGAATCATTATTTTGGAAATCGGTATTTGCCTTCATTCAATAATTATTGGATTGGCCTTGTCGGCTTCAACTGGATCCGACTTTATTTCACTGTGGGTTGCCTTGGTCTTTCATCAGGTATATATATATATATTTATTTATATCTGATCGTTGCTATTGAACAGTTACATAATATTAATATGAGCTTAGATGTTTGAAGGACTTGGTTTAGGATCTCGTATTGCCGAACTCAATTATACTGAACACAGTATTAAACCATGGTTGATGTCATGTGCATATGGCTTAACAACCCCAATAGGTATTGCCATGGGTCTAGGCATTCATGGAACTTATAATCCTGCTTCACAAACGGCACTCCTCGTGCAAGGAGTTCTTGATTCAGTGTCTGCCGGAATTCTTTTATATACTGCTTTAGTTGAACTTATGGCTAATGACTTTATATATAATCCTGAATTTCGAAACTCTTCCAAAATCAAACAGCTTGCTGCCTTCACATGTTTGGTAGTTGGAATTGCCCTTATGGCTTTGATTGGTATGTGGAACACTATCAATTATCTGTAACATTCAAAATAAGTTTATCGCATGTTAATTTAACTTTTTTTTTTGATCCAGGTCGTTGGGCGTGATTATATCGTATCATTTTGATATTTTGATATGAATACTTTAATACTCGATATTTTTGTTCTTATATTCACTCATTATCATAGATAAAGTTTAAAGAATATATTACCTTAGCTATATATTAAGATTTCCCTTTTATATGTCTAAAAAAAAGAGTAAAAATCAATAGTAAAAAATGGTGATACTACCAATAGCAAAACTAAGGGATTCAGATCATTCATTGACAATAATCTCTCTAAATATTCAATTATTGCGCCTTGTGATTACAATATGAGAGTCGGAGAGTTTTACCCATTTCAAATAATAATGGATCGAAAATATGATTAGAAAATTTACTCGAAAATTAATAGTTAATAATCCATAGCAAAATCAAGGGGGATTCGGATCATTCGTTGACAATCATCTCCTAAATATTCAATTATTGCGCCTTGTGATTACAATATAATAATGGATCGAAAATATGGGGTGCCTTGTTGTAAAGGGTTCATTTTTACAATTTTCATTTTTTACAGATGTTTATTCAATAAAAACGTTTGCTATAAGTACCAGAAGCTAACTATGTAATAAAAAGATTCACAAAATGACAAAATTTTATTGTTTCTATTTGAAGATCATTTAAATTCGCTTTACTCAAAATTGTATATATGTCAAAAAGGACCCTTTTAATACGAAGCAAAGCCTCCGATTTATTTATTTTACTGAAACATCGACAATACTCTTACCGAGAGATGCAAATCTATATCGATTATTTTTGGTGTAATTATTATACAAGTCAATCGTACTGTTTTGTTTCACTACTTTTATTGACAGAGTAAATTTGGATGGTTATTTCGCAGAAAGTTCAAACGAAAAGTATTGGTTATATAATTCGTTATAAATATTTTACAAATTAATACAAATATAGTATTTTACAAAAGAATACGCACCATATTGAGTGCGATCGTTTACCTCGCGAAACACACAAGAAATTCTAGATTAAATTGATTTTTTTTTATTTCAGCAACATTACATCGTGAAAAAATGGGTAGTAAGTCATAAAGAGCCATTTTTTTAATACAATTTTTTTGGTTTTTATAGATCAACTAATTTACTATCAAAATACATGAATTAATAATATTTTATTTTTTTTCCGATGTACAAATCTATCACTATCAACTATAAACAACCTGAATGCAAGCTAAATATTTTTCTTTATTTATATTTTTTTTTCAGTTGTATTTCTCTATCATACTTCAATGTGTTCTGACCTTTTTTTCTTAATCCTTCAACTTGTAGCAATCGCACAAAATAAGAAGCTAGCTATCTTCTTTATATTCTTCATATTTCCTATAAAACTACAATCGGATTCTTTAGAAATCTCAAGTTGTGCAGATTTACAGCTATTTGCAAAAAGACGTGGAACGGCAATTTTTATGATGTATATATGTATGGGGAATCAGGAAATCTAATAGTGACGTAGAGATAATAAAAATAAGCTTCTGTTTATCATATAAACAAAATTTATAACATTATTATTATTATTTTGTTATTGCATTCAATGGGCTGATACGCTAAATACAAATGTAAACGAGGAACTTGCTTCGGATGTTACTTCGTCGTGGACAAAAAAATATTCTCCCAAAAATACATACAGTATACTGGAAGTAAAATAGCACTATATTATAAATATTATAAAAAAAACATAACAAATGAAGTTGACCTACGAAAATGTCAACCTTAGTATACCTCTCGAAGACTAAAATCAACGGACAACGAGTACTGGGAGTTATGTGTGCGCAGTAATATAGGTTGAGTTGTGGTGTATATATAGTTATAATATAATATTATAATGAGAAGATAGCGATAGTTGTTGAGTTTTATACTCGAAAAGAATTATTTATTTGTACAATGTGTATTTTTATGGATTTTTAATAAAGATAAGAAAGCAAAGATATACATACATAAATGATAAATTAATAAAAATATTACAGTATTAAATCCGTTATAATTAATACTTTGAGCTATCTAATAATAAAACCTTTACAACATAAAGAAATTTTGCCTTTTAAAATAACTATCGTATCAAAGAAATACTATAGTTCAAAGAAATACTATGGTTTTCGCTATACATCTAAGATCATTTTGGGAAATTTTCGAAATAAATATTATTAAAAATTATTTTTAACTTGATTCGGTACTCTTCGTATAGCCAAAGAAACTATATCTACCAGACAATTAGTGAGAATCTTTCACTATCACAAGTTAGATTTAAAAAAAGAAGGAATCTTGGAAATCTCGCGAATTTCCAGTGATACGGTGATCTGCACCGTTCCACGTCTTTTTGCAAACAGCTGTAACTGGACAAGTGTAATAGATGAAATGTTATTTTTTCTGGTTATTAAGATACCAATTAGTGGTATTGTCTCGAGATCAGTTTGATCAATTTTTCATTTACTTAACATCTTAGACAAATATGACAAATGCACAATTTTACAAATTTTACTTCACTCATGCAAAGAAAAGAAAAAGATTTTAGATAAACTAAATTAAAAATATTAGCTACATTATATATTGGTGTTAAATTTTGAATAATACCTTTTTTGGTTTTAAGTAATTTGTCTTTGTTATTAAAATAAAAAAATTGATATATTAAAACTATGTAATCTAAAGAATTATATTATTAAAATTAATTAATTTTATAGTAATATCATTGTTTTTTTAACATACTTAACTACATTAACCAAAATAATCAATAAGTTCATATACTTTAGTTTTATTGGTGCTAATATTTACAATTGTAGTTTTCTTTTTTTATCCTTAAATAACAATAAGTTTGTCTAATTTTATGCCAGTATGATAGCATAAATGTGTGAGAGCGATAGTTTCAACTTTTTTGATGTCGCTTAGGCTGATTTTCTCAAAATCCTTTCTTAGTAAACATTATGGGTTTTATTTGTACAGTTATAATTTTCCTATCGCTATTAACGAAATCATTGATATCATTATTGCAGCATGTATTGATATTATTATTGTGTATTAGTGCATTTAGAAGATTTTGAGAATAAGACTAATGCATTTTGCCATATAAAGACTAGAAGTGACGAATTTTGGTTAATTCTTTTAAAATATTATTTATATTGGGTTGATTAGTAATTCGTGTGAGTTATATAGCAGTTTACAGTAAGTATGGAATTTATTTGCAAGTTTCATTCATGTGTAATATATTTTGGTAACGGCACTATTACATAAACGCATAAATATTAATTTTTTTTATTCATTGATTTTTGCAGATTGCTATCTCCTATTGACAGTATAATGATGTCATTATAGTGTGATTTCTATTACACATAGCAATTCGGCTTAGAGCAAATATATTTGTTTGAAGTATTAATCGCTATTGCTATGACTTAATTTCAGTCTATATTAAGTTAATTAATGAATCTTAAAATACATAGTCGGCAATTATTATCCGCAAATGAGTGAATAACAATTTGGGCAATAATATTATGAACCAGAAATATTGAATGGCTAAATAGTAGGGATGTTACGGTCCGTTCTTGGTTCTAAATACCGGTCCTAGCAAAGGACCACGGACTGGACCGTGGTCCAGGACAGGTTCACAAACCGGGTAAAAATTGGTTTGTTAGCAGGTTTTAAAATAAACTATGTAGTTTTTAATGGTCACTACATATAAAAAAGACAAAACTTGTTGGCATTACTAAGTTATACGTATATGTGAAAATTTAAAAGCTTGATATATTGTTGCATTTTAAGTTTGGTCTGTATACGTAGCATGCTATATCAACAATGTTTGGTATATAAAGTTGTCTTATCTAAAATTTATTTAATAAAAAACTCTATTTATATTAAAACTGGACCTTAACTCTAATTAAACTAATAGAGGTGTTATGAATATAATATTTCTTAAAAATTATATAATTAATAAATTATATAACTTGCTTAGATAGTATTTATCATGAGTTTTAAAATTTTAAAAATTATAAGTTTTTTGAAATTGTTATTACTTTATATCAATTTAAAAAAAGTATAAACTTGCAAACTTAATAATAAACTTTAATATATACCATAGTTAAAAAAGATATTTACAATATAATATTAAGAGAAAAATACCAATAAAATAATATATATAATTAATTTTAGAGATAATTTATTTATCACCCAGGGTGAGATCTCACCCCTTATTAAAAAACGTTTTTTGATATTTTAGGGTTAGGAATTATATGTAAAATTTAGCAAGGAATTTTTACTTTGAGCCCAAAAGGTGGTTTCAGAGACAGAATTTTGAGATATTAGCGTTTTTTAAAAAAATTCTTTGTTTTGTTACACAAACATTGCACATAATCCTGCAAATTTATTGGCGAATTTAGGGGTGAGATCTCACCCTGGGTGATGAATAAATGTACTCTTAATTTTAATTTATATACTTTAATTGTTTAATTGATTATCTTTTAAAATACAGTATATCTAGCATCAGAGCACATCCTTATATCTATGCTACAATAATTATAAGCTTACAATAAATGCATAGTTTTATAACCAAAGTTATGTAATAATTTTAAACATTATTTGTTTGATCAATATAAGACACATGGTTGCATTAAAACTACTGTAGCAAAGATTAAGAGCTTTTAATTAGTAAATAAAAATCAATTCAGATTATAGAAGTTTTCATACAGTATTTTGTTATTTAATATTTTTCATTATATAAAATGTAAATAAGTACTGTATTGTATTAAATAAAAAATTATAAATGACAGTACAATACAATATGTTAAACTTTTTAATATCATTACTAAAAGCAATTTAAATTTACTACCAAGGAAAACTCTGTTATCAAGGATTTAATCTGCCTATATAATTTTTAGAAATTGTAGCAAATAAATTATTTATTTTAAATAATTTATTAAGAATTTTAGTTAGAATAACTGGTGGTGATCATC